AGGTGGAGCTGGGGAGGAGGAGGGTTTCTGAATTGCGCTGCTACTGCCTGCACTAGCCAAGTATTTGAATGTTGAGGAGCGAGCTCATTGGCTACCGATACAGGAGAGAACCAATTAGCTGTGCTATGTGATTATGATGTCATTATGTCAGATTGAGTTAGACCTATCGGACTGCGCCATCAAGAGTTTCATGCCAGAACTTTGGATTTGATGTTAATCTCAGCATTTACTAATACATTTTTAAGACCAAACGTTGTATGTTAACACTAGTTAATGCACTGTGCACTAAAATGAACATAAATATTTTTATGTACTAACATTAACAGGTTAATAGGTTAATAAATAATGTAAAAAATGTATTGTTCATGATAGTTACTTCATTAACTAATGTTAAATAACGAGACCTTATTGTAAAGTGTTACCATAATTCTAATATGAGTGGTGCCCATTTTTCCTGCCATTCAGCAAATCATTTCCTCTGCTTTAAGATCATGATGTAAAGACAAATTTTATTAATTTCATTAATGAATATGTAAATTAAATTAGATATAATTTAAATATTCATCAACATGTAACTATAATTTAGTTGTATAATCTATTAAACTAAGAGTATTACAGATACACATTAGGATATTTTATCTATGCCATTTGGTCCTTATTGAAATTAGATTTTTTTTAATAAAGTCTTTATGTTTTTATTTCAGTTAATTATTAATAAAGACACTTTATTTGTTTAGTATTTATTAATAATTACATTGGCATTTATATTCATTATTTTAATTGTGATTATAATTATACTTTATTATGATGCAGCACACTATTCAACTTGTAATTGATTTTGTGTGCCTTATTTATCCCTGTAATTATCTTTAATGGCATACATCATTTGTGTACATTAATAAATGCAAAACCATTATCAGCTAACTACCAAACCAGCTTTACTTGTAATAGACAGGAAATACTGTGTGTAATTTACCTGCAATTAAATCAAGCCATTATTATTCAAGTTCACGCTGTTATGGTGGATTAGCAAAATAGAGCTTAATCATTGTTATGCACAGGATGTGCCAAAACCATTGTCAACCAGGAACAAACTCTCTCTCGTTATCGCTTGTTGTTTGTGGCACCAGAATTCCTGCTGGGCTGCTCAATAATTATGGTGGCTAGCACATTTAATATGGCATTGATTGTTGTCTTAAAAGAGGTCTTCATTTGTGTTTTGGTTATTCTGAATCTGATAAAGTGAATAAACTTTAATACAAGTAAGCAAATGTATAGATTTCTTTGAAAAGAGCTTGTACACGCAGGTACAGATCTGGTCCTCTCAGTGCTTCATCCTCCTTCCCCATACACCACCACTCCAGTAGCACAACATTTACACAATAAATTAAAGGCCTAGGAGAAAATTGCGGATAGACAGGGTCAATTTCCCCCAACACAGCAGGTCGCTTTAGCTGCACCTAATTCTCCATGTGCCATTTAAAATCCCATGGATTATAGGTAACAATTATATGAAAGAATGTGGGGATTAGTTAGTGTGGCAGATCATCACCATCACAAAACGCAGTTAATACCCTGCAGAGACAGGCAAACGTCCTGTCGCTCTGTGCTCGGATCCTTGTCCAGCTCACAACTCCCTACAGAAAAGGTGAAAAGGTTTAAGCACGGCCCTCTGGCTTCACTCTTTTTCTGGTTGACTGTGAGCCTGGCCACACCTGATTGCTCTCAGACCTTGCTTCTTTCAACTGCGTATTGATCTCATCCTCAGCTTGCTTGTCTTCCTGCTCATCTGTTACGGATTGCAATCATTTCCCAAGGAGAGACAATGGCTCATTGCAATTTTATTTTTTTGCCAAACTGTGTTGATTTTGATTGATTATGGTAGCCTTAGATGTTTATGCCGACCTGCTGGATATTTAACTTTAGAGATGGTGTGGGATCAATAAGCTGTGGTATCTTTGAGTAGAATTGGCTCAACACCAAACTGAATGGATGTGATAGCTTTGCATATAATGGGAACATTTACTGGATCACTTTAAAAGGATAGTTCACCCAAATATGTAAATTCTGACACTATTTACTCATCCCTAAGTTTATAAGAAGATTATATGTGACCCTGGACCACAAAACCAGTCATAAGGGTCAATTTTTCGAAATTGAGATTTATACATCATCTGAAAGCTGAATAAATAAGCTTTCCATTGATGTATGGTTTGTTATGATAGGACAATATTTGGCCGAGATACAACTGGAATGAAAATCTGGAATCTGAGGGTGCAAAAAAATCTAAATATTGAGAAAATCGCCTTTAAAGATGTCCAAATGAAGTTCTTAGCAATGCATATTACTAATCAAAAATTAAGTTTTGATATATTTACGGTAGGAAATTGACAAAATATCTTCATGTAGCATGATCTTTACTTAATGTCCTAATGATTTTTGGCATAAAAGAAAAATCTATAATTTTGACCCATACAATATATTTTTGGCTATTGCTACAAATATACCCCAGCGACTTAAGACTGGTTTTGTGGTCCATGGTCACATATATTCATTACATATAATATATATAATTCATTCGATTTTAATTGTAGAAACAGGCTTTCATGTAAATTGTATTACATTGTAAACAGAAACTTTGCTTTCTGAACTGCTGTTGGTTTCATACTGATATG